GATAACTTTGTATATGCAATTGCTTCCAATGCTAGTATATAGTGCATATATAAATTAGCGTTTATTTATTTCTTAAAAACATACAAGTAAACAAACAAAACTGAAATACAAAACAATTGGCATCACTTAAATGACGATCGATCCTTTAATTCTTGACAAAACTATTATACTCGGTCTTGCGTGGCAAGTTTTGTGCTAAGGATTTTTTTATATTACTTTTTCATCCATGATACATTTAACTCTGTCCGTACTATCTTGATCTCCACTTCAAACTTTTGTTTCAAACCTTTTGTTTAATTAAAAAACTAAAAATAAAATGCAGTAGTCTCTTGATGAGCTTTTTAAGTGACTCAGTCATTCAGAAAAGTGCATATCGAGGGGTTCGGGTTCGAATTCCAGGTTATTGTAAGAAAGTAGTATTGACTTAAGCCACAGTTATATATATAAATATATCTTATACTGCAAATTATTATTAATATATTTATTTTTCCTTTAAATTAAATATTTATTAAATTTGTATATTTTCTTGTATATCCATATCCATATCCTAAACAGTTGGACAGCCTTTCACACTTGAATAAAAATGTGAATAACTGCATTCATATAAAAACACATATGTTCCTTCATATAAAAGTACAACAGGTGAGTTTAATATTTTACTTCTTTGACATTTACAAATACAAGCATTTTTATCCACGCTCAATAATGAACGCAAAAATTCTGATTGCATTTATTGAATATTTTATAACTTTCACCATAAAACACGCCGCGACACGTATTCTTGAAGGTAAACGAAAAAAAAAATGTTCCCTACATTAATGAATCCGAATGGGTCATAAAAAGAGGCTTTGCTGCCTGCCCTGACGCACAACACAGAACAAGTCCGGTAGCCCTATCTGGCAAAATCTGAATAACCATTCAATCAAGCAGCAAAAACAAGGACCAGATCTGCGTAAAAAATATGAGCGGTCATTAATATCCATGGATTACAAGGGCTGAGCAGTTACGGATATAACCGCGGCCCGGAATCGTATCAAAAAAAAGGTGCCTCAAACGAAAAATAAGCAACACAAGTAGAAACAGTTAAACAGCTGCATACTCTAAACGAGAAAGAAGTGCTATCTTCGGCACACCGAAGATTTAATACCCTTGCAGACCCAACCTTTTCAAAATGCTCATAGTGCTTTGCCCGTATCTAAGAAGCACAGGGAAAATAGTTAATGCCGAGTATGGTTAAGATATCTTGAAAAACCAAACAGGTTTCCATACAACAACTTAATATTCGACCGATCGTTCCTATGGCAGCTTTATGATATAGTAGCCCGATGTGAATAAGATTTTGAATAAGTGGAGGGAGCATAGTAAAACTAATAAATGACGAGTTTGGTCAAGATATCTTGAAAAACATAAAAATTTTCCATACAAAAACTTAATTTTCGACCGATCGTTCCTATGGCAGCTATATGATAGAGTTGCCCGATCTTAATAGAATTTTGTATATATATGGGGAGCTTATTAAAACTAATAAGTACCGAGTTTCGTCAAGATATCCTGAAAAACATAAAAATTTTCCATACAAAAACTTAATTTTCGACCGATCGTTCCTATGGCAGCTATATGATATAGTTGTCCGATCTTAATAGGATTTTGCATATATATGGGGAGCGTAGTAAAACTAATAAATACCAAGTTTAGTCAAGATAACTTTATAAACAAAAATGTTTTTCATACAAGAACCTACTTTTCGACCGATCGTTCCTATGGCAGCTATATGATATAATGGTCCGATCCAGCTGGTTTTGACATATGAACTGCGTGTAACAGAAAGAGGAAATTCTGCAAAGTTTCATAAAGATAGCTTTAAAACTGAGAGACAAGTTCGCATAGAAACAGACAGACGGACAGACGGACATGGCTATATAAACTCGGCTGTTGATACTGATCAAGAATATATATACTTTATGGGTTCGGAGATGTCTCCTTCTATGCGTTACACATTTCACGACATAATTATAATTTATACCCTCTGCAAGGGTATAAAAAACTTCCATAGCACACTCCAAATTATTCTGATCTTACACAACATTTGGTGAAATAGTGTTGGAAAACGCGAATTAATAGAGAGATTAGCTACAAATGCGCTAAGGTATTGGAAATTGAATAAATGGATCAATGTTGGAAATGAAGAACTTTACAATACTTATCTACTGTAAGGGTATACGGAAAGTCGTGGTATTTTTTAAGCCAGATTCCTCAACCTGAGGCAATGGAGGGCGTGAGTATCTGCGACAAAAATCACCTCAATTAATTTAATTAGTCTGCGGTTGTTGCGCATTTGGCAGCCGTCGCACAAATCCCAACTGCCGTTGTCCCGTTCCCGTTCTGGCCGATGTTCTTTTATTTTGGCAACTGCTGACTCCAAAAGTTTGAATGCAGCACACTGCGTTGAAGGGCTGGGGGGGCTAGAGGAACGATCAAATGCACAGCATGACGAACCGCGGTACCCAAAATGACCGCTGGCCATGATTAATGCCTGCCTCCCGCTGCTCGCTGGCCATGGTTTATGAAAATCAGCGATAAAACGTTTGATAAACGATATTGAACGGCGAGTGACATTTGACAGTTGGAAATTCTGTCCCGACTGAGCTTCAGCCCGGCGCTGAGTTCATTTCCTCCGCGACACCATCTTCCACACGGGCATAGTTAATGCTGCTCAATGAATGAAGGCACTTTACTCGGTTTTATGGCATTTATGGTTGGTCTGGGCTCCAACTTTAAAGTGTTGAAATTGTATTCTAGCTGAGACATTTTTATAACTATGATATTCAAACATGGGCATTGTTTTGGAACATAAAAATGTAAACAAGTCCATAGATTGCCTGTGGAGAGGCAGTCGGCGTCTAACATTCCCGTTGCCTTTTGCATTTCCTGCTGTTCAATGACTCTGCACCCAGTTTGATTTTGCTGCATATTGAATTTCAATTTGATCTTGGCTTTGGAATGCATCTTTTAATAATTGAAGATTGAATTTGAAAGCGCGTGCAAGCTGGGACAAATGTTATAAAAGAAAAGCGGCCAGAAATGAGATTTTTTAAAATGTTTTATGTGATTTAGTTGTCAATTGTATTTATAATATCACAAATAATATAAAATATTTAACTCTATTTCTTAAATTACTCTTTCTGACCCTCAGTAACTGGAATCAATCAAAATCTATAAGCGTTACTTGTATACATGAAAATCGCATAGAAAGGCGACTTGCGATTTTCAAAAATGAATGCAAATTAAACGGTAAAACGCATTCTGACAGTTTATCTCATTTATGACGAGAAATGCATCGCCAATGCTCTGTCTCATCCACAATCTCACGCCAAGAGATCTGCCAAACGTAGCGATAAATTTAAAAAGCGATTATAAAATACTTCGAGCGACTTTATAGAGGTGCATCAGTTAATAAATTTTGGATGCGAAGTGTGTGAGCGTGTGTAGAGCTTTGGATTATACGATATTTTTTTATTTAACCGGCTGGTTGTAAAATCATGTATGGGATTAAATATGGCTCTCCAAATGCACTCGAAATGAAAACTTCAACTCAATTCCACTACACAACGTGAAGTATTTGAATATTGGGAAAAACACTCGTGTTTTACATTTAAATTTAAATTCATATAATTTAATTTGGTTTGGATTTCTCTTCCGGCGCATATGCATATATTTGTCAATTTTGTATGTGGTATCAGCTTTCAACTTTGACAAATCATTTCCAGCTACAATTTCCTCTCGAGCGGTAGATAAAAAAATTAACGTTTATCATTTTTATGACGGTATGCGTTGCACTCAAAATGCAAATGTTATTTATCTCTAACGTATGTATGCCTTATAGAGACATTATGTGACCCCTTTAACTCGTGCTGCCTCACAAATCTTTTGATTTCCTTAATATACACATTTGTAATACCCTTCTCGAAGGTACTATAACTATATCACGAAATGTGCAACGCATTATGCTAAACTTAAACTTTTGCTTACTGTGTACTTTATAAAAAGCTCGTTGTTCATATGTACATACATATGTACATATGTATAAAAACTCAGCAATTACGTGGATTGCATGGATAACTGAATTTATCCAGACAGTGGATATTGTGGATGGATAAATTATTTGTCTTTGCTTTTGAGCTTCATACTACAGCTGCATCAGAACGAAAGAGAGAGAGATAGAGAGCGCGCATTGAAGATGGTTACTGCGCTTACGCCAATAGTTGTAATGCTTTTGATCCCGTTACCTGGAATCGTATGATGCGAGCCATTGCGATTTGAGCCATACTGATTTCTTATTGTATTAGTGCAAATCTGTAAATTTAGTTTGTACGCGTCGTCTCCTTTGATCGGTCGTATTATGGCGTGTCTGTATAAAATCGATGTCGTTGTTAAAAAAATAACAAAATATTACATTATTATTGTGTTTAGCGCGATAAATTTGTGTAAAATATCATTCATAATAGTGTTCTATGTATGCGTTGTCCACACTTGAATGCTTGTTAAAGAAGCAAAAAAATATCGTCGAGTTTTTTATGCCAATCTTTCTTCATTTTTGGCGAACTTATTGGCTGAATTTGTATGTGAGAGAACGAAAGTGGGCGAGAGCGAGCAAAGTAAATAGTAATTGCGCTTACGCAAGTTACTTTGAATCCCGTTACATGAAGCGAGCATTGCGAATAGTGTGAGCACAGAAGTTTTATTACTCATTTTTGTTATTGTATTAGTGCAAGTCTGGAAATTTAGTCTGTGCGCGTCGTCTCCTTTGATCGGTCGGATGCCGTGCTCGTGTGTAAAAAATCGCTATCTTACTAAATAAAATAACATAATAATATCTAATTATTATGTTTAACATGATTTGTTTGTGTAAGTTTCATTTATAATTGTGTTTTACTCATTCTGCATAGTTTAATGATTGTTCAACAAGCAATGGTTGAATTTTTGATGCCGTTTTTTTGGCAGAATTTGTGTGCGGGTGAGAAAAAGAGCGAGAGAGCAAGCATTGCGAATGGTTATTGAGCTTACGCCTACTGCAATTACACTTTGGATCCCGTTACTTGGAATCGCACAAAGCGAGAACTGGGAATAGTGTGAGCCGAAAAGTAATAATGCTCAATTGTTATTGTATTATATCACGTCTCCTTTAATCGTTCGTATTCTGTGCGCGTCGTCTTCTTTGATCGGTCGTTTCTGTGCGCGTGTGTTTTAAATCGATGTCGTACTAAATAAAAATATATAAAATGTAATTTATAATAGTCCCCTAACCGTTCTCTTGATGTGTCAATGTTTGGTAACAAGCCATTAAATATTCATAATCGTGGTATTTTTGACGTTGAACTCTTGCATGTTTAACGCACATGCATACATACATATTGCCAGACTACATATGTGTGTGAGAGAGTAAAAGAGGCAGAGAGATAGCATAGTATATTGTTATTTCGCTTATGCCAACTATGGTAACATTTTTTGATCCCGTCACCTGGAATGCATAAAGCGAGCAAGCAAATATTCACTTGCTATTGTTTAGTGCAAGTTGGCAATTCAGTCGGTGCGCGACGTCTTCTTTAATCGATCGTTTTCAGTGCGCGTCGTCTATTTTGATCGGTATATTCTTTGCGCGTGTGTATAAAATCAATATCGTCGCAGAATTTGTGTGTGGATGATAGAAAGAGCGAGAGAGCAAGCAATACTGATGCTTATTGCGCTTACGCAAACTGACGTCACACTTTGGATCCCGTTACACGGAATGCATAAAGCGAGCATCGGAAATAGTGTGAGCTGAAATGTTTTATTGCTCATTTGTTATTGTATTAGTACAAGTGAGGCACTTTACTCGGTGCGCGTCGTTTTCTTTAATCGGTTTTTTTCTGTGCTCGTCGTCTCCTTTGATCGGTATATTCTGTGCGCGTGTGTATAAAATCAATGTCGTTCTAAATAAAATTACATAATTTTATTTTATCTTTGTAATTAACGCGTTTTGTGTATATCGCCACACTTGCATGTTTATTTAACCAGCAATAAAATTCGTAATCGTTGAATTTTCGATGCAGAGCTCTTTCATTTTTGGCCCGCATTGTTCCAGACTATGTGTCTGCGAGAGCGAGAGAGAGTGAGCGAGTGAGAAAAAGTGAGTACCTTAAATCTTTTCTTAAACATTGCGACGTTCATCGTTCTCTTTATACCCTTGCAAAGAAAACTTTTTATAATATAATGCAACGAAATATCTAATACACAGAACTACTCTGTAAAGCTTATATATTCTTGATTAGCATCTTCAGCCGATATACATAGCTTTTTTTTCTGCCCGTCTGTCTGTTTCTATGCAAACATTTTGTCAAAGGGTATTTGACTTTCGGCGTGCCTATAAAAGCTTTTTTTCTTTATTTTTTTTCAATTTTTCTTTGTGGTTTTTGCTATTTCATTTTGATTTATTTTAATTTGTAATAAATTACAACTTTCAACTGAGGTTTATTTATTTATGCCTGTGGGCCAGCATCATATGCTCCACCTTCCACCTATGCATCTATTTGGCCGGCTTTAACATATTCGAATCGGGCGCAGCTTCGCTTAATGGTTTTTTAATGTTAATGTGCTAAACGAATGAAAAAAAGTGAGAGTCTATTGAAAATGAATTATGAAATGTGAGTCAAGAGTTGAGAGTTATTATTGAAATACGAGCACATCGCGCGGGCAATTCCCGGCTCCCCTCTCAGAGCTCAAATGTTGATTGTCATTGCCAGTCATGGGAAAGCTTGAGGAATGTGATATGCGACTGGGTTATATATATTACTGGTAGGTAGGTGTCGTGTGCGGTAGCTGATTTGGTTAACCAGTTGCTTTGCTCTTGTGGCAAGTCTAACGGGTGTCATATGAGCATGTAACTTGCTATTCTCGGGCTAAGGGTTAACGATCTTTAGTGGGCATGAATGGAAAGCTATTGAACTTTTATAGCATCAAGCCAATGTCTCTAAGACCTAAAAAGTCACTTTAACTACAGAGTTTGGACAGAAAGACAGTATTTGAATCCGATTTATCGTAGGCTAAATTATTTGTATATTAAGCCAAATGCTTACATAAATTCTTTTCTAATAATTTCCTAAAAAAAAATTTTTTTTAATTTTAAAATTCTGTTGTTATTATCTGATATGCTGTTACTGTAGTCTAGGAACTTTTATCTGAGTGAGGTTCATAGCTTACAATAGCTTTGGTCTAAGGTAGCTTAGTTTAGATATTTAAATTTAGTAGGTGGTTTATATATATGTTTATTTTGCTAAGACAAGGTTCTGTTTTGCTTGGCTGGGGGTCTGGCGTCGATCGACTTGGTGTGTAGGGTACGTCCTTTAAGCCTCCATCTTCTTCGCCTCCATAGTAGGTTCCTGGCCAGGACATTAGGGTGGTTGCGGAGCTCAAATAGGTAGCTCGCTGCTTGTCCGTTGACAACGTCGCCTATAATTGGAACCTTAAGGTCTTTTGCGATTTCCCGTGTGCGAATATACCATTCGGCTCCAGAAAATGTTCGCAAGGTCTTGGCCTGGATGATGCGAACTTTGTTTAGTAGAGCATTTGCGGCTATACTGCAGCTATATTTATTGTCGGGGCTTAGCAGCGAGTTCAAACGCCCGATTTTGCTTCTCACGTTGTTGGTTACCTCGGTGACACGTTTTTTAAACGTAAGTCATCTATTGGCAATGTCCCTAAGATTTACCATTATTTGATTCATTTTTAAGGCAGGCTAAACTAATATAAGACTAAATGCCTTCAAATGGATGCTAGCTGTGCATTGCAAAAACATTGAATTTCATTAAATTAACTCTTTTATCTTGTTGTTTGTCGCTAAAACCAACATTGACCGTCAGCCGGTCAGCTTTAAATTGACTTAATTTAATTAATCTGATCCAATTCAAAGATTTAAAGGTATCAGTTGTAGAGCACATTCCATAATTTGACAACAAAAGGCAGCTCTAAATTCAAAATTAGTCTTTTTGACTGTCACAATTATCGAATTTATGATAACGATAGCACCGTTAGCTATGAACCATATTTTGTAATGTCGCTGTCCATAATTTCAATTCAATTTTGCATGCACAAATGGCTAAAAACTGATTGTTGTCCACTCTTTGGACAGCTGCATCATTAGAAATGCAAATAAATGTGCACCAAATTTTGGAAATTCTGGAACATTTAATGCCAAAACTGGCAAATTTATGGTCTCTGCCACTCTCGTAGCCACAATTTTGTGGTTTTAACTGTCCAAATTCATCAAAGCCCATCAAATGCAAATGCTTATAACCCACCCACCCACTGGGGCTCGACTCACACTCAGATCGCCCGGGGCGCGCGTCAAGCGTGAATTATGACAATGCGTCCAGAAATACAAAAAAAAGGGGGTTGGGGAAAAGAGTGAAAGCTGGCGATAAGGCGTGACATGGGCTCTGCTAGGGGCTATGCATGTTAATAATTACTGCAAAAAAACAATAGAAATTTTAAAAATGTGTCTGCATAAATTTGAAATCAAACACTGGAAAACATTTTCGGGCAAGAGAACACAAATAAAATACCAAACTAAATTAGTTAATTAATGCAGCACAAACAGAATGCTGAGCAGAACTGGACGCGGGTCGTCATCAATCATGGCGCGAAGTTCGGCCTTTGGTTTGGTTCGCGGCTCAATTGTGGTCGAAAATGATTTTTGGGGGCAGCTACGGGAAGTGTTCGTTGCTTTCGCTTTCACTCACGGCTCGATTGACGTTCAAATTGCCCGTTGGGGAAGAAATATTCACCAATTAGATGCCCACATATGCGACAGGTAAAGTGATTAGGCGCCGGGCTACAACCAAGCATTATCTAAAAATACCAAAGTCCAAATAAATTATGCGCAGACGTCAAGACGTCAACTTTAAAAAACCACAATGTATCACATTTCGCGCTTTGTGGATCTTTTTTTTTTTGTTTTTAAGCTGAAGGCAAACAGCAAACATCCATTAGCCAACGAAAAATGCCTAACAAATAAATTAAACAATGTGAAAAATATAACTCAATTGTGGCTATACCGAAGCCAATAACTTAATGCTCTTGCCAAGATCTGGCCATAAAAATATTCGCGTAATTTTCTAATCTAATCTAATTTATTTTTGCATGTATAATCAAAATTTCGAAAGGAATTTGTGGGAAAAAGAAAATATGTGTCTAAAGTTTTGCGTAATTTCTGTTTAACCGTTTTTTATATTTTAACATAAGTACAAAATATATATATTATTTAATTTTGTCTGTTTTAGGTTTACTTAATAGAATAATTTATAGAATAATTTATTAATTAAATTCTCTTAAAATATATGCAGTGCACGAATTTAGTAAACATTTCAATATGCTTTTTGCTCTTTCAGAGTATTCAAAATTCCCATCTCTGATTGACATTTATAAACGTCTGTTGTCCCCCATGGCGTTCGTTTCGCCACACATTCAAAAAACCCTTTGGGCCTACTCATTTGCTCGGTTCTCATGATGGGGGGCGGGCGTTCGCATTGGGCAGGTGCACCGAGTTTCTGTTTGTCTAATGTAAAGGTATCTGAAATTAGCATAAAACCACAAAAAAAGAAAAAACAAAAAACAATAGCAAAAGGAGGAAAAACTCGCTGTACATTTTTAATTAATTAATTAGGGCAAGTCTCGTTTGTGTTTCTCTAGTGCCAATAACGAGGCTATCAACGTCGGCGTTGCACACATTATCATGCCTCATTCTAATCAACGTGATGATCATCATCATCGTCAGGCAAAGCAAAACGCAAATATTTGTACTTGGATTGTGTTGGCTCTCGTTGGGCATTGCTGTCACTGTGTTTGCATATGCATGAACTTAATTTTAATTAATATTTTATTATCTTAATTATGCATCGCACCTTGCCACGTTTGCGTCCGCGTCCGCGTCCGTCCGAGAGCTGCGCCCATTCGTCGCTGGTCGCCAGTTTAGTTTTCGACCTTTTGCTTAACAAATTATGGCCATAAATAAAGTAAACGAGTTAAAAGTGGTTTTGCGTGTAGACAGCCGACACGGACATAGACACAGGCCCGAACCCTATGCCTCCTGTGCTGCCGGCTTCCTGTGTCCTCCACTGTCTGCCTTCGGTCTAGCCGCAGTCTGGCGGCGCTTGGCTAATGTCATTTTCATATTGGCTGCTTTTTTCCTTCTTTCTTTCCTAACCCTTTGCAAAGGGTTAATTCTTTGACAAATGTGCAGAGTGCAGTGCACAATTTTATTTGTACACTTTGCTGTTGTTGTGTTTGGTTAATTTCGGCTGATTTATTGCTTTTTATTAGTGGCGCTAATTGGCTTAAAGTTGGCTGAGTGTTCGCTTATTCATGGTTTAGACTTTGCAATAGTTGCGAACAGGCTGAATATATATGCGTTCCATAGATAGAGTAGAATATTATTATTCATGCTGTGAGATTAATGTTTATTTGGAAGTACGAGTCAAGGAAAGGCGAAACCTCTTAAATTAAAGGATTAAATAGCAAGATCTTATCATACGTATAAGCTTTAAGTATACGATTCGCTACTTCAATATCTGATCGCAGGGATCTCAGCGATATCGGATGATTATTAAGACAATAACCTGCATTTTTCTCCACTGACTTCTGCGTCTCCCAGCGCAATGCATTCTTTTTGATTTCCTGCACATTGTTTGACAAAATTCTTTACTAAAAATATGTTTTTTTTTTTTTGTTGATATTTCTGCCAAAAATGTTTCATATTTTGTGGAGTTGCCGCCCAATTAAATTTTGCAGTTGTGTCCATACAAAAAAGTTGAGCCCAAACCAAAAAGCTGGTGACGCGTCGGTTGACAATGATGTTGCCGCCTTTTAACGCAAATTCCATGAAATCAGTCGGCAGTCAGCATTGCGCATCGTGTTCACGTGGAGTGTTGGCCAAATCCTGGGCCGTGCCTCTAGAAAAACATGAACAATTTAAACAAGGCGACAAGGCGCAGACAACGAAGACGAGCCTCGACATTGTAGCCGTGTTTTGTCTGCAACAAAAATTGCAAGTGACAGGCAATTCATCATTCATTCGGTTTTCGAGTTGACTGACTGACTGACTGACTGCGCCTCGACTCTGCCTGACTGACCAACGAGGAGGCGGAGCTGCCTGCCTGGCTGGCTGCTGGCTGCCGGAAAGGGAACGACTCCTTTTTTGTCTGCACCACCAAAGCAATTTTATGGCCGGCACAACTTTAAGCATAGTAGAATCAACGCTTTGACAATTTAATGCATATAAAGCTAACACAAGTTGGTCTGAACAATGGGTTCAGTTTTCTTGCCAAAGCACTGTGGCCAAGTATGAAATAGAAAGACAACCAGGGTCATTTTAGGGCTTACTATATTTAAATTTATATATATATATATTTATGATAGTGCTCGTGATGTCAAAATTGTTTGGCAGATAATACAATAAGCATTGGCAAGGCCCGTTGAATTTGAACCGGCGACCTCTGGCTTGCGAGTCCAACGCTCTGACATCAGGCAGGTTAAATAGCTTAATATTTATACATATCTCCGAGCATACTTTTGACTTTGAATAATTTATTCGACCCACTGTGCAACTGCTAGTGTTGCCCTTTTGGAATCTTAAATTGTTTTAATGTGTGTGCTGAGCAGCTGACAACCACGCCCGCGAGATGATGTCGTCAAAGACCCAGCTCACCTCCCAGTAGGAGCTGCAGGTCGCGGGCACCATTTTTCAGGTTGCCCATTCCCCATTCGGTTGCACTTCAAGGATCAATCAATATTTTAGCACGACTTGGGCTGATGAAGTGCCGCCGTTGGGAGCTGGCTGCTTTGTTGCCCGTCTGTTTAATATTCAGTGAGTAGCATCGCCAAGCGCGACGAGCAACTGCACCAATTTGGTGCTGGCCACTGGAACTGACTGACTGCCTGGCTGGCTGGCTGGCTGGCGGATTTTGATGCATTTTATCGCTCAGCGGTGCAGTTCATAAATTTTTAAACGTTCGCCTGCAAAGCAAACAAGCTTGCATCTCTCTCGCTGCCAGCCATCGCATCCACACTGAAAATTTATTCATTGCGACCAAGGCGCACGCATGTAATCAATTTTTATTTTAGAATCCTCTCAGCAAGGCGCAAGGCAGGTGCAAAAGTTACTTTTGCTCTATTATAATTGGATTAAATACAGTTTCTGTTCTGCTCTGTTCGGTTCTGTTCTGTTGGGTTCGACAAGGACCTTGCGCACATTGCGTACATTAAACTGAGCATACGCGAATATTTTTGCAGGTTGTTGTGTCTGGTCCGGTCTGGGAATGTGTGGACTTGTCTGGCCTGCTGCTGGTCTGGCATTTTTAACGAGCGCATCGTCGGAGCTGCAGTCATTTACAGAGTCCGTTGGGGCGGCGGCGGTGGCGGCTGCTCTTAAATGACAACGGGCGGGGCCCAAAAAGTAAGACTGGGGAATTGCCCATGTTGCGTGTGGCAACAGTTCGCAGTGCGCCGCCATAAAACGGTTAAAAGTGAGGCAGTTTGTGAGCTTTAAACGCAGCTGCGTCGATTGAGGCAGCTTAATGTGATTCCACTTGCCTCCTCTCATTCTCGCCCTACTGTGTTAATCCTCCATTTAACCTTGAGCTTAAACTATTTGTGTTTCAAGTGTTTTTCACTTGAGATAAAGCAGATATTGTAGGCTTAAGGAATTCTTGAAAGCGGCTATTCTTAGATTATAAACTCACATATCTGTTGCCAATTTACTTTTGCTACTTAAAGATTACACTAGGATGAGTGGCATAAAGAGAAAATTAATGAATTTTAATATGAAATATTAAAAGAGAGGATATAATTAATATATTGTCGTAATTATATATTGTCAATCATTTTGTATGGAACATAATCTTTAGACATAATCGTGTATGGTTTGAAGAGATAGGCAGCATATTAAGAGTTTAGTCGAGGACTAGTTTTATACAATTCGAACTAGCGGAAGTCGATTGGGCGAGCTAAACTTCGACTTACTTCACAGGTCGCTAGACTGTCGACTTTTGAGCCCTCGCGGGCACTTGTTGTTGGCCAGCTAAATGGCAATTCTTTTTTAAACAATAGGAAACAATTTGTTCTTAGTCCCTGCGTTACAATAATATTACCCTAGCGTATATTACCAGGATATGGTCTCTCCAAGTTCTTACTCTTCCGCCACTCATTGGCAAAATTAAAGGAGCTGTGGAGCTCTTTATGAAATAAATAAATAAATTTAATATGTTTAAATATAAAATTTAAATTAATAGAATTCGAAAAACTAAGTTTGAAATAATTTCATAAGTTTCAACACGGTGAAACAGATATTCATATATTTTATAAAGTAAAGCATTGAAATTACACTTAAAGCCGATCGGAAGATACGAATATACGAATCCCATTATACACCCAGGGGGTTGGCACTTCCGAATGGCGTGGAACATTACACAATTAAATTTTGAAAAAATTGCTTGATCAATTAGTTTAAATTCGATCGGTTAATAAATAAGAAAGTTGTATGGCGTCGTATTCCACTGATTTTCCACAGTTGCTGATGCAATTTTCTAAAAGCGGAACAGTTAAAAATTCAGCCTTGTATCTTTTCGAGCTGGTCAGTGGTCACATTTGGCCATTCCATAACTCGGACGGTCAAGACAAGCTCCTTTATATAAATAGATCAATTTATCTGTTTGCTCTCACATTGCTCTTTCCAACTGTAGATATTTCGTAATATTCAATTCATAGTAGTATCCCAATTTCTAATCACATTTGGCCATTCACATTTGGCCATTCCATAACTCGGACGGTCAAGCTCCTTTATATAAATAGATCAATTGATCTGTTTGCTCTCACATTGCTTTTTCCAACTGTAGATATTTCGTAATATTCAATTCATAGTAGTATCCCAATTTCTAATCAATATAAGTTTGTTTTCGGACAAATATTATATGTGAGCAGTAAATCCTTGCATTTTCTCAAGTCATAATGCTTATGTATATAACGAAGCTAGTTCGAAGTTTCATAGCAGAGGTATGCGAACCAATTTACTGTCTGATCTATGGACACGATAATGAGCACATCGTATGGATTCGACTGGTGCGTAGCTTGTGCAGCTTCTTGACGGGCGTCCTGCTGGCCTATTTGATGTGGATGCTCTTTGCATTCAACAGTCATTTTGGCAAACTGTATGCGGCAGCTGTGCCAGAATGGGTGGTGCTGGTGGTGTTTCTGCTGTTCAACGGACTCGCCTATCTGCTCAGTCGCCATGTGCGTGTGGTGACATTATTGATATTTGTCGGTCTGCTGGGCAATGCGGGTCGCAGCTATCTCCGTGCGACGGCATTTGCGCTTGTGATTTCGGGCCCCATTGACAATCTGGTGAGGAATGCCGGCGAGGTGGCGCGAGTGTTTGCCTGCACCACGATACTCACATACAATTTGACCAAGACCCGTTTCGATCTGATGGCCAAACCCTTTACAAACACGCTGGAAACGATGAAGGATGACTTGGACGAGATTCAGGGCAACTTTAAGGAGCTGCAGACCATTCTCGAAGATCTCAAATACGGCGTGGAGTACACGGACATCGAGGATGATAAATTTGGCAACAACAAGCACCGCCGAGCTGCAAATGCGACCAACGAGTTATCTAGCAATTCCAGTTATCCACTACCCAAAGCTTCGGCAGTGCAGGCGAAATTTGTGCGAAATATGCGAAATCGCTGTAAGCAACAGCTGCGCAGTGGCCATCATGTTTGTCGGGAAATATTTCTAAAGGGTTATCGCAAATGTGCTACCAATTTTCCCGACTGGCTAGCCAGTGTCGTCTGCTGGCCCTATCGCGTCGATATTATATGCAGGGTCAATATTTTTGGCAATCCGGATAAGGTGTGCGATGCCTCGAAGGTAGGAAAATGTACAAAACGTTGAGTTCATCTACTCTGGATTAATACACTACTGACTACAATACCATGTCGTCTTTCGATCTTTCTCTAACCTTTCTACTACCCTAAGGTTGTGCCCTCCAACTTTGGCGAGACCTATGTAAATCTGTTAGTCGCGGAGCATGAACTATATGATAATAGCTCGAATATTGAGATCACCTATCAGATGCAGAACGTGACCACGTCAGAGCAATTGCTTAGTGCCCAAGAGACATCGGAGCAGTTTATCAAGGACTTTGAGCGCAGGAGGCGCATATTTAGTCTTGTGATGATGATTATTGAGAAATTTCTGTATCTGTTCATATTGGGCGTTATTTGTACATCGATTCGATACCATTTCAAATATTGTACCAATGTGGAGTTTGACAACTTTTACATAACGGATTATTTTAAGCACGTGGATGCACGCCGCAAGCTTGCAGATAAACATTACCTTTTACCTTTGCGCAGCCATGAGAGGTCCATGTTTGTGGATGTGGAAGAACTTAACAGCCGCACCGACGACGAGAGAAAAACGGACTTTTTCCATTTGTTGCAGCTATCACTGGAGGTTATTACAGCGGGTATATTCATTCTTCTGGATCGGCTGGTTGTTAATCTACTGCGAATTATTCACGAACGCTCGCTGATCACCTATCAACAGGAGGGTGAGCACGAGGTTCGCTTTCGTGTATGTGAGAGCAGTGAAGCCTTCCCCCCATCTCTTATAATATCGTTTTTCAATTCAACTCGTAGATCAATGGCACTGGACTTATGGCACGTCTGCTGCGCACCACAATGAAAAACTTTAATATACACGAGCGAGTCTCGACATCCTTGAGCAATGAGGAGTGTCTGCCAAAGCCGCATGTGCTGCCGAGAAGCTTTTACGTAAAATTGTTGCTACTCTATTTGGTCATCCTGTTGCTTGTCTATGTGAGCACCACCTTCCAGCGTTTGCGTCGCGTCATTTGCAGTCACTTCTATTACAAGCGGGAGAAATGGCGCATTCTTTTTCTCTATAGTTCCATTCTGCGCTGTCGCCACTCGTATAGGGAGGTGATGCGCAAGAGGGCCGAGGAGAATATTGCCTCAAGGCATGTTCAGGGCAGAATCAATTTATGCCTGATCCTGCGCTTGTCCTACCCGAAAGCATTTGGCTGGTTAGCTAATTTCAACTGCGCCAAGCGCAGTTGCCTCACTTGCAATGCTCAGGAGGACGACAAATTTGTGTTCTGTGAAAATTGCGGCATGCCGTACTGTAGGGACTGCTGTAAGGCTTTGAAAAAGTTGTGCGTCTATTGTGATGAGTTAATGCATCACGAACCGGCACCTGAACACACTTATACGCCAATTCACAGTCCAAATGCTCATATCCATCGCAAGAGAAAGTAATTAGTCGATGGCGGAAAATGGGTGGAAATAGAGTGCTTATATGGAAAAATATGTTTCTGTATAAAAAGCGTATGTGTTTTTCAAAATATTTTGTATCACACTTAGCAATTGAGTTCTTTACTATTTCCAAACACAAAACGGGTCTTCTATATCATATGGCTCCTTTAGGAATAATTCTTTATAATAAAAGCTTACTTTTAAAATCATTTCTGAGCCTTATATCTATTCCTTCCAGACATAATGTTCGACTTGCCAATGGTAGACTCTCCTTGTTTTCTCTATCCGATTAACTTCAAACTAATTTTCAAACATTTATTCAAAATATAATTTAAGAAGCGGTCAAATTTGATGAGGAAATAGCAAAAAAGTGAGGCGTAAATTTTAGTACTCGCTGCTCATAGCATACGCTTATATAAAAATAGGTGCATACAGGCATATGTAATTAGTGGTTATTCTCCGAATGCAGATACAATTTATTTGACTCAGCACGTAATAGGATCTGCGCGGTAATTGTCCATTTTCCAGTCTGCAGAACTTAATTCTTCGTAGTTTTTAATTGTGCTCGTCTCTTTTTGCCGTTCTCAAGTATCTTGAAATGTGCCTGCAGCGATGTCTGACGTTTTGTCTGCTGTTTGGCAACATTTCTTCAGCCATCCTTTTGGGCCACCCTTTAAGTCTGTGGCCGCTTTATGCTGTCCTGCCCTGTCCTGGGCCTAATATAATTATGCACATGTCTAGGGTTCCGCAAAAGTTGTTGTTCGCTGTTGTCCTTAGACAAACTTTAGCCAGGCATTATGCAGCCCCTTTACTGATTCGATTATGTCTGCAGAAAATTTCAACACACTAGACTTTGCACCAGGATTAAGTTGCAAAATTGTTAATTAAAAATAATAAAAACGCTAATTGAAGAAATGCCTACGGCCAAAACAGTCCGCCGAGCCCCAAGAAGGGTAAGCGGAGCCAAAGTTTTTCTGGTAGAGCCCAGCGAAATTGTCTAGACTTTGTTTTAGGTTTGGGGGAGTTGCTCAATTGCTTTGGGGCACTTGGTGAAACAGTTGCAACAGTTGCGACAACAGCAAAGAGGCAAGACGAAAACGAAAACGTCTTTGTTTTAATATTCATGCGGGCCGCACTCGTGCATGTAGTTTTGTGGGCGTGGTTACCTTAGTTGCCGGTTGCCGGTTGCCAGTTGCCCGCCCTGCGTACAATAAAATAATTATGCAAACAAAAGCGGCAGCAGTGAAAGAGTCGCAGGCATCCGCGTAGCTGGCAGTTGGAGGCGAGACCGCAGCCGCAGCCACAGACATCTGCGTCTTCGTCTGCTGCTGTTGCTGCGTCTTTCCATTGAAATTTCACACATTTCGCCAACGCCTCAGACCTCAAAAAAACCAAAAAACAAAAAAAAAAAAAACACGGGAAATATGCGCAAATTTTCTTACGAAAAGCAAATACCAAAGCGACAACGTCGAGAGTCGTGAAAATCTAAAGCAAGCAGCCAGCTCCCGCCTTCCGATTGACTTCCTTCACCAGTCTCTCTTTTATATTTTTTTTTTGTGGGCATGCCGTGTGCGAAGGTGATTATTTGACGTTCACACCTTGTCCGCCAGTCCGTAGGACTTGGACGTGTATGGAACTGGGCGAGGTCGTCTTTGTCTCCGTCTCCATCTCCATTGCCGTCTCCATTGTTGGCGGTTGTTGTGATCAGCCACAATAGTGACAGGTGTGACAGTGCCCCGACAGCGCGGCGTGGAGAGATGGGGGCAGCCCAGTTTTGTGGAGCAACGAGGCGGCTATGAAGATGTAAACTAGACGAGACGACGATGAAAACTGTAAAGCAAAAAAAGAAAATTATTTCCTAGAAAAGCGCCGAGCAGCTGGTGAAACGAGCGGCCAGTGCAATAGGGCTGCAAAAGGCAAGCGGCGGTGTGCATGAAATATGAGATACCCTCTTATATATTTATTTACACTTTAATGACGAGGTAAAAGTTATGCAATAGGTACATGTTTCTATTTTATTTTATTCTATTCCTTAAAAGTATCTAATAAGAGCTCTACTTTCTGCGACCTCTGCTACAATCACAATTAGAACCAGTAAAAAGAAATTAAAGGTTATAACTCAACTATATATTTATAAATCATATACTCTTCAAGCTTTCTTATATGCCCATATACACGTCACAATTACTGGGCATCACAAAGTGAAAAAAGGAATACATTTTTTACTTTGGGGCGAATAGAAAAATGCCAAAGTGTTGAGGAGGAAAAAACAAAATAATCGCATCGAGTCTCTCAACTGCTTTTATCATGCGCTCAACTTGGCGTTGATAATGACGATGGTGGTTAAGGTGCCGAGGTCGGTTGGTCGGTTGATGATGGTCAGTGCAGCGCATTGTTCTTGCGGTTTGGTTTTGCAATTTACGAGACCAGGCAGTGAACTATTTAGCAAAGCTGTTGTTGCATTATGCACTCGAGCTAGGAGGGAGCAAGGGCGCTGCAAACTGGGAACTGGCAACTGGAATCGGGCGGCTTCTCTGTAGCAGCAGGTGGTAATGCGCAGAAATATGGTGCTGAACATTTCAATTAGAAAATAGCGAGTCAGAAGGAGAACTTTGAAACGATGACAGGCTGTCGTCGCCCCCATTAGACCCATAGCCAGCCGTCCAGTTCATTCTCGTCCCAGACGAACGTGTTCCGCCTTTGATGTCCGCTGACGAACTGCGCCTCGTTCTGGGTAGCTCTGTCTGGGTGCCGCGGTCTGCGTCTGGTTTCTACCTGCATCGCGGCTATTATTTCAATAAAAATTCTTGAATATTATTTCAAGTTTGTTATGGCAGGTTAGTTAGTCGACTCGTCTCCATGCCCGTATTTAATCTTTATAATTAAAATTTTAACAAAAAATTACCCGACAAAAATATGATGAGAAAAACTCAGCCGGATTGTGCAAACCAAAGAAGGCGCCCGTCTTGGGCGCAAAGACGCGAACGTGTTAAAAATTGATTAAAGTAATTGATTTGCAGAAGATGGTCAGGTGGCCAGCTGGCTGGGAGCAGAGGCAGGGGCGAGGGTAGGGCACAGAAAAGCTCGTTCAATTCTCAGCAAATTAATGTGCCTTGTTCTGGTAGTTTGTTAGCGGGGAATGGCGGAATGTTGTAGTCTCGTGAGGGTTTTGCATATTTCGTTCAAGTATTTTTTTTATAAGCTTTTATAGAACGAATGTGAGGGATGACTTCGTTATAGTGGAAAAGGTGGCGCATTTATTATTGTGCGATGGAAAGAATTTAAATTAAATAAATTTTAGTAATCCCAGGAGAACTTACATAATGATTCAGTTGATTACTGAAAATGTTGTTCTATAAAAGTAGAAAATAAATGTCTGCCCCCAATGTTTCTTCTTGCTCCCTCAGCAGAGATAATTGCATTGCTCAAACAGATAAATTCACTTGTTAACACACGCATTCCACAAAAGCAACTCGCATGGCTTTGAAGTCAAATATTCCTTTATATTCAAATCATATTCAAACCACATAGAAATCTCAGCTTTGTTTTGCAATTTCAAGTCAAACTTCAACGGCGAACAACGGCTGCAACAGCACAGATCCAATTTCACACAGACCCAAAAGCCAAAAACCGCAGCACCACAAATCTTTCACTGCAGCCGCGCCAACATTTTTTTGCTTGCCCCAGTTTATACTATACACAGACATATTTATACTCTAACCGGCAATATTATTAGCTTATCAGATTATTAAATATATTCTAGATGATAGAGATCCATCTTAAAGCTGGCCAAGTTTTTGATATAGTTCCGAAAGTAAGCTTCATTATTTTGGTGTAATGTATGAATATTGCTTAATGAATACTTTTTTTATTTCTGGAAAAGCAACCGAAATGTTTAGCATTATGTTATTATAGTTAAATCGTTCAGCTAACATAAAACTAATGAATTTTGTGCATAAGAGTATTTAATCTTCAACATGTTTAGTCTCAAAGCATTTTTTTTGGCTAATTTTTTCTATGAAACCCCCAACCCGAATCGCCTACAGAGAGGTGGGTCTCTATGCGTGTGCAGCGCTGGTTGCATTCAAACTTTTGTGCCAACTGCTTTTGACTCTCGTCGAAGCCAGCACGCGAGCTCTGGCGCTGTGGAGCTGGTAGTTGGGTTGGTGACGCCTTTGCTCTTTCATACACACACACACACGCACACAAGCTAAAAAGCAAAGCGCGAAAGAGTTAAAAGGCACCACACACACAGCATCAGAGGAAGGCAGCCGAAGCATTTTCACCCTATTATTTCGAGCAATTTCATCAAAACTAGATGGGGTCCGGCCTCTGCTCTAAAATTGTTACCACAACCAACAACTATCCAGTGCTAGTGCAAGTCCCAGTTTCGGGTCCCGTCCAGCCCAGACAACCGCTGCTTTTTTCTAGCTTCGTTTGCTTTTCCACTTTTTTTTTTGGTTTCGGTTTTTCCTCTTTTGCTGTTGTTGTAGTCGGACTGCTCTCAATAGAAAAAGGCAGCAGGTTTCTTTCTTTTCAATGGCCAGCTCCGACTGTCGACTGTTTTTCTTATTTGGTTTCCACTTTTATGTAGATTGGTATTTATTTTCCACGCGAAAAACTGAAAGAAATACAAAAAAAAAAAAAAGCAGAGTGGCAGCGGTTCTCACACTGCGATTTTGTTGTTAGTGTTCCTGCCAGAAGTTCCTTAACTCTCCTCATCGCTCTTATTATCGCGTCAAGCTCCAGCAGCAGCAGCAGCAGCAGCAGCAACTAAAACGCTGCCAGCAGCTCTGCTGTGGAACTATTTTGCGGTCCGTTGCCTGACAAATGGCAGCAACGCCATCGTCGGAGCATTTAGCCAAAGTCCAGGGAGCCGACATTGGTTGCCATGCCAGAGCACAGCCGCTGACCGCCTCTGGGTATAGGCTCTGGCGTCCACTTTTCTTTTATACTCTACCAGAGGGTATACGCTATAATAGATGAATAGATAGCTGGTATTTCTGGCTTTGCGCGGTTTAAGTTTGCTCTTGTAATTATAGACCTAATTTTTCAGCCATTTTCCGGCAGTGGAGCATTTAAATCTACTTGATCTATCTTGAACTCCACGTGCAAAGTAATATATTGCAACGATTTTTGAAATTTTTCCTTGAATATGAGCTTAAGCTCAAAACTTCACCTACG